AAACAAATAGCAAAACAGCAGAAATAAGTCCTTCCTTATTGGTAATTACCTTAAATTTAAATACATTAAATTCTCCAATCAAAAAGTAGAGAGTGACACAATGGATTTAAAAAAAAAATGGTCCATCTATATAGGGTTGCTATGAGTCAGAATTGACTAGATGGCAGCAGGTTTTTTTTTTTTTTTTAAATGTGTCTACAAGAGACACGTCTTAGGCCCAATGACACAAAAAGTTTGAAAGTGAAAAAAATAGAAAAAAATATTCTGTGCAAATAGTAACCAAAAGAGAGCTAGAGTGGCTATTAATATTAATATCAGAAAAATAGACTTTAAGTCAAAATCTGTCATAAGAGACAAAAAGGGAATTAAATAATGATAAAAGAGGTAATTCATAAAGATATAACAATTATATATATATATGCATCTAACATCAAAACTCCCAAAATATATGAAGCAAACACTGATAGAATTGAAGGGAGAAATAGATAGTTCTAAAATAATAGTTGGAGACATCAATACACCAGTTTCAATAATAGACAGAACATATAGCAAGAAGATCAGTAAGCAAATAGGGAATTTGAATGACACTATAAACCAACTGGAGCCCTGGTGGCACAGTGGTTAAGAGTTCGGCTGCTAACCAAAAGGTCAGCAGTTCAAATCTGCCAGCCACTCCTTGGAAACCCTATGGGGCAGTTCTACTCTGTCCTATCAGGTCACTATGAGTCAGAACCAACTCAATGGCACCTAACAATAACAACAACATAAACCAACTAGACCTACCAAACACATACAGAACACTTCAGCCAACATCAGAGCAACACACGTTGTTCTCCAGTGCACATAGATCATTTTCTAGGATAGCCCATATGCTAGGTCACAAAACAAATTTTAAAGGACTGAAATCATATTAAGTATGTTCTCTCACCACAACTGAATGAAAATAGAAATCAATAACAGAAGGAAACTGGAAAATAACAAATATGTACAAATTAAATAACACTCTTAGACAACCAATGAGTCAAGGAAGAAATCAAGAAATCAGAAAATACTTAGAGTCAAATGAGAATAAAAACACAACATATCAAAACTTATGGGATGCAGCAAAGGCAGTGCTCAGAAGAAAATTTATAGAAGAAAATAACTATATTAAAAAAGAAGAAAGATCTCAAATCAATAATCTAACTTTCCAACTTGAGGAACTAGAAACATAAGAGCAAACAAAGCCCAAAGCTACCAGAAGGAAGGAAATAACAAAGATGGGAGTAAATATAAATGAAATAGAGAATAGAAAAGCAATAGAGACGATCAACAAAACCAGAAGTTGGTTCTTTGAAAAGATCAATAAAATTGACAAACCTTTAGCTAGACTGACAAAGAACAAAAGAAGATGTAAATAACGAAAATCAGAAATGAAAGTCTGGACATTACAACTGATCCTACAGAAATAAAAAGAACCATAAGAGAATAGTATGAACAGTTGCACAGCAACAAATGAGATAACTCTGAAGAAACAGACAAATTCCTAGAAACATATATTGTCTCAAGAATAATCAGAAGATCTCAACAGACCCATAACAAGTGAAGAGAATGAATCAGTAATCAAAATTCTCCCAACAACGATAAAAAGTACTGGACTAGATAAGACTTCACTGGAGAATACTACTAAATATTTAAAGAACAATTTAAGTCAATCCTTCATAAACTCTTCCAAAAATATGGAAGAGAGGGGAACACTTCCTATCTCATTCCAGGAGGCAAGTATTACCATGATACTAAACCCAGAAAAAGACACTGCAAGTAAAGAAAACTACAGACCAATATCCCTTATTAATATAGGTGTAAAAATCCTCAATGAAATAGTAGCAAACAGAATCTAACAGCCTAGTAAAGTGATTATACATCATGGCCATATGGGATTTAATTCCAGATATGCAAGGATGGTTCAACATTAGAAAGTCAAGCAATGTAATATACCACATTAATAGAACAAAGGAAAAGAACCACATGATCATCTCAATCAACACAGAAAAGGCATTTGACAAAATCTAACACCGGTTCATTATAAGAACACTCAACAAACTAGGAATAGAAGGGAAATTCCTCAATATGATAAAGAGCATTTATGAAAAACCCATAGCTAACATCATACGTAATGGAGAAAGAATGAAAGCTTTCCCATAAGATCAGAAACAAGACATGGATACCCACTCTCATCACCACTATTTTGGACATTGTTCTGGAATGCCTAGTCAGAGCGATTAGGCAAGAAAGATATAAAAGGTATGCAAATCAGAAAGGAAGAAGTAAAACTGTTGCTATTCGCAGATGATATGGTTCTATATATAGAAAGTCCCAAAGAATCTACAAGTACTACAGATAATAAAAGAATGTGACAAAGTTGCAGTGTACGAGGTCCACACGCAAAAATCAGTTGGGTTTCTATACACCAGCAATGAGCAATCTGAAAAGAAAATTAAGAAAACAATTCCATTTACAACAGTATCTAAAAGAACAAAATATATAGAAATAAATATAACCAAGGAGGTAAAAGACATGTACACTGACAACTATAAAACATTGCTGACAGAAATTAAAGAAGATCTATAATAAATGGAAAGATAATCTGTGTTCATAGATTGGAAGACTTAATATTGTTAAAATGTTAATACTACCCAAAGTGATCTCCAGATTCAAGGAAATGCCTATCAAAATTCCAACAGCCTTCTTTGCAGAAATGGAAAAGTCAATCCTCAAATTTATATGGAATTGCAAGGGGCCCAGAATAGCTAAAACAATCTTGGAAAAGAAGAACAAAGTAGGAGGACTCACACTGCCCAACTTAAAAACATACTATAAAGCTGCAGTAATCTGTCTAGTACTAGTACAATAATAGACATATATTCCAATGGAATAGAGAGTCCAGAAATAAACCCATGCATTTATGGCTAATTTATTTTTGACAAGGGTGTTAAATCAATCCAATGGGGAAAGAATAATCTCTTCAATAAATGGTACTGGGACAACTGGATCTCCACAAACAAAAGAATGAAGTTGGAATTATATTTTATACAATATACGGAAATTAGCTCAAAATGGATCAAAGTCCTAAGTGTAACAATTAAGAATATACAACTCTTAGAACAAAACACAGGAATAATGCTTTGAAACCTAATTTTTAATTCATGGATATGGTACCAAAAGCATGAGCAACAAAAGACAAATAGCAACAAAACAGAAAAAACGGACTTCATCAAAAGGAAAAACATTTGTGCATCAAAGGGCTTTATCAAAAAAATGAAGAGACAGCCTACAGACTGTCAAAAAATATTTAGGAAACATATATCTGGTATGAGCTTAATATACAGAATATATTTAAAAAAATAAAAAACTCCTACAACTCAACAACAAAAAGACAAACAACCCAGTTTAAAAAATGGGCAAAGGACTTGAGAATAGACATTTCACCAAAGAAGAAATACAAATGGCCAACAAACATGAAAAGATGCACATCATTAGTCATTAGGGAAATGTAAATCAAACTCACAGTGACATACCACTTTACCCATACTAGGATGTCTATTTTCAGAAAATAACAAATGTTGGCAGGGATGTGGAGAAATTGGAACCCTCATCCATTCCTGGTGGGATCGTTAAATGGTGTAGCCACTGTGGAAAACAGTTTAGAGGTACATCAAAAGGTTAAACAGAACTACCATATGACCCAGCAATTCCACTCCTAGGTATATACCCCAAAAAAATTAAAGAAGGGACTCAAAAAAATACTTGAACACCAATGTTCATTGCAGCATTATTCACAATAGCCAAAACGTGGAAATATCTTCTTGTTAAGCATGATGAAAAAATTTGGGACCGGAAGAGGTGATTGCTTGCACAACATGCTGAATGTAATTAATGTCACCTGAATTGTACATGTAAAAATGGTTGAATGGCAAATGTTTTGTTATATATATTTCGCCACAATAAAAATTAAATAATAAAAAGAAAACTCACGACAAGTTGATTTTTTATTTCAGACTCACACCATTTGGTCTTTTAATACAAAGTGATTGAAAACTTCAAGCAATCTAATTTAAAAACATGTACTGAAAATATGATACGGAAAAGGGGCAAGCCTGGTAGGAGACAATGTTTAATCCAAATATGCTGTCCATTTATAAAGAAAAGAGGGGAAGGAAACTAAATCATAACACCAGAATTTCTATAATTTGAGGAATATACATTACAATAATTAAGTAATATAATTATAAGAAGCCATGGTGGTGCAGTGGTTAAGTGCTCAGCTGCTAACCAAAAAGTCTACAGTTCAAACCCACCAGCTGCTCCATGGAAGAAAGATGTGGCAGTCTGCTTCCGTAAAGATTACAGTCTTGGAAACCCTATGGGGCAGTTCTACTGCGTCCTATAGGGTCGCTATGACTCAGAGTTGACTCGACCGGCAATGGGTTTGGTTCTATCATAATTATCTTTAAAATCTACTAATTTACCTATTTGAGTTTACAGATAAAATTGAAAGAACTTGATGTGGTACATAAATACCTCATTTCTGAACCCAGCTCCACCATTTACAAGTTGTGATTTCAGAAAAGTTACTTCATCTCTCATACCTTAAGCTTTCTTTTGTAAAATGATGCTATTAAGCTAATGTGTCTATTGTTGTTGCGGATGAGTTGATTTTGACTCATAGCAACCCCATGTGTTACAGAGTAGAACTGCTCCATAGGGTTTTCTTGGCTGTAATCTTAATGGAAGCATTGCCAGGCCTTTTCTTCCACAGTACTGCTAAGTGTGTTCCCACAGTACTGCTGGGTGGGTTCCAACCACCAACCTTTAAGTTAGCAATGGAGTACAAATCGTTTGTGCCACTTAGGGACCTCTAAAGTGTCTACTAACTCTAAAATGTTTTGATTCTATGAAAAAAATAAGTTTGATTAATAGCTGTAAAATAACATCTATAAAATATAAGAAAAATAACTTACTTGTTAGCATGATATTGATTAAAACATCCTCCTTGGTGGGATTAATGAAAGGTATAACGATAGGTGAATGAAGATTAAGAAATGTGGTTACTTTTTGTGTTTCCAGAGGCTGGGGAAACAGCCCTACTCCAAAGAGGAAGAATCTCCATTCTTTAAACTGTTTAAAGAAAAACATGTATAGCATATTTGTCCTAATGCATACATTTTATTTGCAACACTTAACGCATGTAATATACATAGAAATTTTAGAAGATAAGTTTTTCACATTTAACATGTATTGTTTTATTTTTCCTTTCTTTTCCAAATTATCTTTTATTGAATAATTAATTGATATGTTTTTACACTGAAAAAAAGAGCAAGACACCAGTATTCAAATATCAAACTTATTTCAGTGAACATAAGGTTATTTACAGCAGCATAAAAAGAAAAACCTTAATGGAAAATCTTACCTTTCTGCAAGGCTTAAAAAAAATTAATTTATGTAACAAATTGGATACTAAACCCTGTGTGAAGTTTCCAAAATTTTAGGATGAATTTCAAATGAAATTCAGATAGTTGCCACATGAAAGCAAAGAAGATGAAGCACAGATTGACATCTCCTTAAAAGTAAGTGGGTACAACTTCACACCATATTATTTAATCCTAAACTCTGGTGGTGTAGTGGTTAAGTGCTACAGCTGCTAACCAAAAGGTCAGCAGTTTGAATCCACTAGGCACTCCTTGGAAACCCTATGGGGCAGTTCTACTCCGTCTTATAGGGTCGCTGTGAGTCAGAATCGACTCGACAGCAATTTTTTTTTTATCATATACTATAATGTATGTTGTTTGTTCAAACAATATGGAAGTGTGGCTTGAAAATTATGTGAAGGAAATTGAATATGGCTATTCCTACTTGGGTTTCATAAGCCTGCAAAGCTCTGTTTGAAAATGTTCTTTTTGTATTCATTTAGAATAAAAGCCCCTTGAGATTACAGGAGACTGTGACTCAGGCCTAGGTATCTCATACTTCTGCACTGAACACTTTACTGTTACAGATGAATGAAGAGGTCATTGGTGTCACTGAATTGTACATGTGAAAAATGTTGTTACTTATATTTTTACAAAAGTAAAAAAGTCACATAAAAAAACTAATAAACAATGACCTAGTTTATAATCTCCCAAAATGCATAGACGTTTCTAAACATAATTCCAACAAAAAGAGGGAAACTTGCTTTAAGATTGTTCCAGGGTAGGACAGGTGGTGATAGAAAATCCATAAAATGTTTCTCGGAGTAGGGAGGCTTGCAGGCAAGTTTTATCTAGCCCACCCGCCTGCCCATCCGCCCGCCCGTCCGTCCGTCTGTCCATCCATCATCTGTCTATAACTATATATACATTTGTATATTATAAATGTTTTAATGACTACTAGTTTTAGAGACTCTACTAGCATAAGTTCACTATATTTTCAATTATGATTTCTTAACTTGATTTCATGTCACTGACTGACAGAAATCAAGCATCAGGTTGAATAAATTAACAACTAGTTTAAGTCAATTATTATTTTTTGGTTACTTTACAAAGTAATTTCTGGGTGACAGAAATTAGTTGACCTGGAACAATTGGGGGTGAACCAAACTACAAAAAAAAAAAAAAGACTGCCGCGTTTCTATGTTTCCCCAAGTGGCCTAAAATAATGTAACTCTACTGTACTTCTAAGCTAAACTACATTCTACCGTTATTGAACACTAATACCCAACAGATGTCCTAGCATTTTTTAAATTGTCCATTTGGGTGCAGAGAAAGAAATTAAAAAGTAACCCAGTGAGTATGTGAATTTAGAATAAAATATGTAACATTTTTAATCCATCTTAATCTCAAATTCTTCTAAAGGAGGAAAAATAAAACCTTTAAAGATCCAACTGCAATGTTTCTGAATGACAGACCAAGTAGCAATTAAAGAGTAAATGTGATTGCACATTGAGCAGAGCTCTATAGCATCAGAGCTTGCTGGAAATCAACAGGACTTTCCATAGACACAGGCTTCAAGTATCACAAACTTGTGCTGGGTTATAAAACCACTTTAATTTTATATCGTCTTCCTTCCTTTTTGCTATTCCGAACTTTAGGTAAAGCAAGTCACATAATCAAGTAAGAATGAAATAACCAATGCCAACTGTTTGAAAATAAAAATAGGACATCTGAAACTGAACAAAGAAAACCTCTGAACAAAATGTTTGAGACCAAAGAAAGCCCCTCTCCCCCCACTTCCCAGACTGGCTGCCTCCTCCTGTTCCTCTTATTCTGTTATGCAGTAACACAATCTCATTTAGACACTCTGGTAGCATAATATGAGTTTGCAATATTTGCAGCTGTGATGTTCTACTGAAAGTAATTTCAGGATGAAAAATCTACACAAACCAACACTGGCATAAAGTTTGCATTTTACAGTGCAGAGCTCTTCACGTGCAACAAAACCAAAAACAAATGAAGTGAATAATAACCCATAGTTGTTTCCCTCAGTGTAGCAAAGAGGCACAATCAGAAACAGTTAAAGCTTATCCTATAAGCACTGCCATTAGTTAACTTTAGATGAGTTAGCTACTCAGTTGTGTGTGTCAGCTCAGACACATTTAATTACCGAAATCAAGAGAAGAAAAAAATCTTTGTGTTTTTTCCCCCCCAATGGTGAAAAGTTATTCCAAACTCTTAGAGCTAGAAAAATAAACCCTAAAGTTTCAGTTAAAAAAACAATGAAAACCAAAAAAAAAAAAAAAACCTTCCTTCGGCGTCTGCATATACATGCTATATACTGTATTTTCTAAAATTCATTCAATTAGTACTTTACAATGAACTGCTTTTTGTTTGCAAAGGATGTTGACATGATAAATTCAATAAAAGAGAAAGATACGAATGATTCAGGGGTGAAAAAAACAGGAAAAACTGAAAGGTCAGAGAAATACATTGAATAGGTTGAAGGGGTCTGGACCCAGCGGCTGAAAGGATGAGTTATTGATTCAAGACCAGCCACGGATGACTCCTTGGAGATTGGCTACAACTTGGAAGGAGATGCTCAGAATGACTGAAATGAAGCATCGGTGCTCAACTAGTTCACCGTGGTGTGAGTGGATTATTTATTTGTTTGATTTCTTTTGTGTTTGATAAAGAATTTCACTTTCAACTTCTAGGCTTGGACTTTCCTAAAGCTATTAAGATACAGAACTGATCATTGCCCTGCTGACTTTCCGAACTATCCTTGAAGAGATATAATTTCCACAGAAATCTGAGGAATAAAAATTTCCACAATAATTAAGTAAGATGAAGGGGCTCTATCCCTGCTATGAAGCATTTAAAGATTGCGTTGTTAAAATTATTTGTGTAAAATAAAATAATCACCACTATACTTTCTGCTCTGTATTGAGGATTACTGTTTTTATTTTTGTTGTTGTTGTTGTTAATATTTTTGAGAATCAAACCTATTTCCAGTGTTTGCTTCAGGTCGTGTATATGCCAGTTATACTTGAGAAAATTTAACAGTCTCAAAATAATCTTTCTAAAGATAAATTACACAGTTTTTATAAAGGACGACACTTCAGTCATCCACAGGCCCGCACTGACATCTGCCCCTCTCAGATGGTAGGATTTTTTATTTCCTTGTGTCCCCAGGATATAAAATACATACTTCCATCACAATTTGAAGAAGCAAAATAATAACAGTAAAAAGTCATCCAAAATTTTTGTTGGCAGTAAGAGTTATAATCACTCGGCAAATTGTAGGTAGGTGTGAAAAGCAGTCATGCAGATGAGCTAAAGGCAGACATCCTGGGTTCAGCTCTCAGCTCAACCTCTTAATAGTTGCCTGATCCTAACTTCTCTGTCTCAGTATCCTGATCTGTGTAATGGGCTTGATAACAATACTTCCATTACAAGACTGTGTGAGAATGAACTAAAGCAACTCTTAGAATGGCATGTGGGGCATTATGATTACTGTGTTTTTAAATTATTACTATTCAGGAACATTGTACAGATGAAATGGAGTGAAAAAATAATACAATTACTTGCATCATACTCTCTACATTTTTATAATTAAGTTCATGAAAAGCTGAGTAGTAAAACCGAAGTCAGAAGATTAACATAAATGTCAGTGATGTAGCAATAACATTAAAATACCAATATTTTAAATCTGAGTGTAGATTCTCCCTCATTCAATCAATCTAGAACGAAAAATTTAGTGATTTTGAAATTTAATTAATTTGACTTGGTTCAAGAACATCATACCTGAGCACAGTGGAAGCTGATTAAAGCTTGGTGAGTAGCCCTCCCAAGTGCAGAAGGTTGGAAGTGAACAACTACTTCCGTGGTGGAGTGAGGATGGACGATCAGCTGTGCAAATACACAAGGAAGCAAAAGAGAAACAAGGATCAATACTTTTGTGAGTCAGACACTGAGCACACGAAGTTACTTGCTGTGTAAAAGGAAGTTGGGCTTAATTTTGTAAGTTGAATTAAAACCCTCAATACAAGAAATATGCCTTTTATTCTGAAGCCCGTAGCTCATCATCCATGCCATGGTCCGTGTCAAACCACCAGGAACCTAAACTGTAGGCTTGGTGGCCTCAAAGGAAACGTACTGACTCTAAGAACAGATGTAAGACATGCTTCTTAGTGTGCAATGAAGTTTTCCTTATCTTCATACCACACATACTCAGGGTGTGACTGTGATCTGCCACAAGAATGTGAGTCCGTCAGTATGAGTTTGAATGAACTCTTTAGGGACAGTGAAAGAAGCCAGTGATTCTATCAGATATAATGGGGATGTGAGTACCTAATGTAATCAAAATCCTAGACTATAATATAATAACATAATATTTACTATCAGTACTTACAGAATGAGTGATAAAACCAAACCCATTGCCGTCTAGGTGATTCCGACTGATTGCTACCCTATAGGACAGAGTGGAACTGCCCCATAGGGTTTCCAAGGAGTGGCTGGTGGAATTGAACTGCCAACCTTTTGGTTAGCAGCCAAGCTCTTAACCACTGCGCCACCAGGGCTCCAGAATGAGTGATATGTGTCTCAAAAGTAAGTCAATTATTCTTCGCTAATGTGTTTTGCCAGTTAACCTTTTAAAAAATAAAGTTGCAATTTAGCAGGGCCATTCTATCTTTGTAAAATATAGCACTTGTTGATCAATAAACTCTGATAATGATCATGAAATACAAATATAAACTTAATTATATGTTTGTAACAGGGTCACCTCCTCATTATATATGCAGAGTTAAACTATAGCATATATTTTTATCTCAGGCTGGCTCTCCTGTTGACACCTCAAATATTTCAGTGTTATCAGTATACACTTCATGAATGTAAATTAATCTCAATATAAGTTTTATCAAAAAGTAAATAAGAAAATTTGCAACTTAGAAAATATGAAAAAAGCTGATTCTCTCTCTCCCTATCTATCTGGCAAAACTGGTTAAGCACTTGGCAGCTAACCAAAAGGTTGTTGGTTCAATTCCACCCAAAGTGACCTCAGAAGACTGTGAAAGGTCACAGCCATGAAAACCCTATGCAGCACAATTCTAGTCTGCACATGTGGGGTCGCCATGAGTCAGCTGGAATTGACTCTAGGGCAACTGGTAGTAGTAGGTATCTAAATCTATATATCTATATCTACATATAGAGAGAGAGACAGCCCTGGTGGCACAGTGGTTAAGTGCTTGACTGCTGATCGAAAGGCTGGTGGTTCACTGGCAGTTCAAACCCAGACAGTCACTCTGCAGGAGAAAAATCTGGAGATCTGCTTCCGTAAAGATTACAGCAAGAAAACCCTATAAGGCAGTTCTACTCTGTCACATGGGGTCACTATGAGTGGGAATCAACTCGATGGCAACCAACAACAACATAGTAATGCAATCAGAAATCCTTTATTTCCTCTGAAAATTCACTGAAAAATGCATCTCCCATAGTTTCAAGAAGTGAAAGCCAAACACGATTTGCAGGAATTTAACTGCAGAAAACATACTGGTTTTATGTAATGGAAAATATTTAATATGCTAAATGCAGGAAATTTTTGAACCTAAAAAACGTTTCATTAAAAACAAGTGTTATCATGATAATCCATCTCAACGTGTGAACTTACACCGGATGCTAGTTCAAGAGGGAAGTATATTTGTGTGAAAGTTGAGTAAATTGAATATGGACTGAATGCTAAATGATGTGGGAGATTTATATGGTTTTAAGAAATATAATCTGAAGTATTTAGTGTTGAAATGGCATGATGGCTACAACTTACTTTCAAATCAGACAGTAAACGATGTAAGAAAGAAGAAAGAGACAGAGAGACAAATGTGGCAAATTGTTAATAATTTATGAACCTGTTGGAGGTATAGGTTGTTCATTGTATAAATCGTTCAACTTTTCTATCTGTTTGAAATTTTACATAATAAATATTTTTAGGCAAGCAAGCATTTCTATCATATTTGCTTTGATAATCAGTGTATACTTACTTATTGAAGCATATTTCTAAATTTTAATGTAAAAATTAATTTATAAAATATTTAAATTTTTAAAAATTTTTATTTTAATTTTTAAAAATATTTAAAAATTCTTACTTATGTAAACACAAGCACTATACAATGAAAGCAAAGAGTAAAGTGAAATATATATTTCTCCATTTATTACCATTACCATTATGTTAGTGTGCTTTTATTTTTTCTATAACATATAATAGTATCTTTTCATCTATATTTTTGAGTTATTTCCTAATATTAAAGTACTTTGCATAAATTGGGTGTTGAATAGTGTTTGATGAATGGATTAAAGAATGAACAAACTAGAAATCCATGACTGGAAATATTAAAACACAGTCCATATTCTTAATTATTTAATGTACGGTGGCTTCTGCAAAATATTGCATTTGTTTCCCCTTGGATCACAGTTTAAACTCTAGTCTAAAAGTAATGATATAAAGGATATGGAAACATCAATTTCTTATGAGGAATTTAAGCTATAAGTAAACTGTAACCTGAACACCATGCTCCATGTAATTTATGGAAATGTGTCTATATTTTAATATATTTTTTCTAAAATTACACTATATCCACCAATGTTAGCAATATAATATTTACTGATTTCTAATTTGACACATTATGACAGCTGAGAATTAATTTGATATCATGATATTATTAGTGGGCAACCAGTGATTGACAAGACAGGTGTTAAGAAGATATAAAGAAATTACATTGCAGATTTGTTAAACAATCATTAAGGATAAAATGGTAAAAAGCCTTTATATAAACACCATATCTACACAGGAGAGCTTCGTGATTAATGTGAGCCCTTTCTTAAAAACAGACTATTGCAATTATCATTCTGAAGTTTGCTCTAAAGTATGTAGTTTTGCCCATTCACTGCAAATGTTTGGTATCATATATTTTGGAAATATAGTCACGCTAAAGCTTCAGATCATGTTATGTAACTTAAGTGAAGAAGAAAAGTGATTGAGGCCGATTGACTGGCCCCAGTCTCTGCCCTGGACCCAGGACTGATAAAATGGGACAGAAGGAGGAGAGAGGGGCAGAGTCTGGAAGTGGGAGGGGTTGTGGGCAGGAACTCAAGAAAGGAAAGAAAAAAACTGGAATCTTGGGACTCTGAACACACATCATGACTGTTGAGTCAAAATCATATTACTGGGACACTATTGCATAAACTGATTCCTGAAATGGTCAGAAATAAAACACATTCAGTTTATTCAGAGCTTAGAGATCCTGAGCACGACTCTAGTATATATACTTTCAAAAATCTACATGAACATGACATTATTTTTTTTGATAAATCAAAATTTGGGGAACATATATACATGTATAAGATAAAAATCTATTTTTAAATTTTAGAAATTTTCAACTTTATTAATAATTCGTGTAATATTCTCAGGTGTTCCAAAACCAGAATTGTCAAATACTCTAGTAGTAACAGGTTGCCTGGCTTTCTGAATGTACTTACTGGTAATCTTTTGTTAATATCCAGGTCAAAATTGCCAGGATTACTGTTTGTTGCTTCCAGTTCTAAGGTTTCATGTGTAGGATTAGTTAATAGAATAATCTGAGTGACCCACCTGGGAGAAAAAACAAAGCTAGTTAAATTGCTGATATTCATAAACTTACTTAATGATAGTTCTGTGAACTTGGTGTTATGGACAGAATTGTGTCACCCCAAAATGTGTGTCAACTTGGCTAGGCCATGATTCCTAGTATTGTGTGATTGTCCACCATTTTGTCATCTGACTTGATTTTCCTATGTGTTGTAAATCTTACCTCTATGATGTCAGTGAGGCAGATTAGAGGTAGTTATGTTAATGAGGCAGGACTCAATCTACAAGATTAGGTTGTATCTTGAGTCAATCTCTTTTGAGATATCAAAGGAAGATACAGCAGACAGACAGGGGGATCTCACGCCACCAAGAATGAAGAACCAGGAGAGGAACAAGTCCTTTGGACCTGAGGTCCCTGTACTGAAAAGCTCCTAGGCCAGGGGAAGATTGATGATAAAGGGCCTTCCCCCAGAGCTGACAGAGAGAGAAAGCCGCCTTCTGGAGCTGGCAACCTGAATTTGGACTTCCAGTCTCCTACACTGTGGGAGAATAACTTTCTCTTTGTTAAAGCCATCCACTTGTGGTACTTCTGTTACAGCAGCACTAGATAACTAAGGCACTTGGTAACTTTTGTGAGTTTCAAAGTAAGAATAATCATGTATGAACTAATGACATTTTGCTAAAACAAGTAAACCCTGATTCTCTTTTTTTGAGACCAAATGTTATTGCATATTGTATGTTGAAAAATATTCCAGTTTTAGGAGCAGTGTTTACCCATTCTTTTATAGCTGTTAAATCTAGCCAAAAAAGCTAACATAGTCTAGAAATGATAGCAAAGATAAGAAATCCAAAAGTTCTGACCCAAAACAATAACAAGGTCCAAATTAATGTTAAGTAAATGCCAGATATGTAGCTGGTGGTTATGCTCACAGCAAAGCATAGTGAAGAGGGTTCATAATACTCAGTCAATGATAACTTCTAATGCTTTTCATGTACAGCATCCACATTATAATCCTGCATTCTTTCCATAACCTTGAACTATAACATCATAATACAGTAATTTTATCTATGTACAGTTTTGCTTATCTCTCTCTTCACTGTCTCTTGATCATAACCCCAAAATGATCGACTAAAATCTAAAAGTATCAAAGCTGTAAAAATATAAATGCAATTATCACCACCTATATATTATTCATTTTTGCAATATCATGGTCGTCTGAAAGGGGTAAATTAGCAATATGTGCTGAGCAGAATTCAGTTCCTTAATTAAAATTGTATAATTCAAATAAATGGCCATTTTCCTGACTGTGTATAGTGATTCACCTTAGAATAAAGAGAATCATACATCAGTGTTTTGATTTGAGACTACAAATTTAACAATTCTCTGTAAATCAAGAATTTATTGTTTAACCAAGCACACGTATATTTTACTGAAATATCGGATGAAAATAACCAAACTTTTGTTAATTGTATTAAATAAAACACATTAACCATTATGACAGATTTCCCATTATTATTTTTTGTTGTCAGTAAGCATCTGCTTGGTATATTTTGCAGAAAGCCAATGTCTCAAATTTTCTCTTAAGCGCTGCTATAGAAAAACATGAATGAAATATTGCTAAACTAGCTTTCTATGCTACTGTGCGGGAAAATGTTCAAACATCATTGAGAACCAAATCTGATGTTCATATTTGATGCAAAACTGTGGGTTTTAACTGCATTTAGTGATTTATGTTTCAATTCAACACCCCAAGGTTTCAACTTATTCCCTTGCCAAGGTCAATTTCAAACACAGCTTGTGATTAATTGAAATTGAAATTGAAAAGTGTTTATATCTGAATCCTTGCATTTGTTTAAATAATAAAGTTGCAGACACATGCTTTGGATTTGGTTATAAGTAAATAACACAGAAAATAAAGTAATATGGAGCCCATTCATTCTCTTATTTCTATTTATTGAGGTGATATGTGGCTCACCTTATCACTGTCACTATAAAAAATTAAGAAGAGAGAAAAAAGAAATTGGTCATGATTTCCTAAATTCTACTCGATCATCTCTCTAAAATTTTATGTACATCCATGAAATTGGTTTCTTCAAATGTAATCAACATTTAAATCTCAGGCTGAGGCAGGTTAATTACTTCACATGGTGTGGTACTAACTCCATTTATAAGTTTGTTTTCACCAAGTTTTTCAGATATTTGTGATTCTGCATATTGCCTTTTGGACAAAGTCTCTATCTCTCTTGATTAAACATCAAAATTCAATTGTTATATAAAAATAAAATTAAAACAGATTTTAGGTGACAAGAAAATATGAATTGAGAAAATTAAGCCTATGTCCTTAGTGCACTCATGATTAGAACTTAAATAAAATAAATAAATAGAATATATTTTTTAAAACTGCTTAGAAAAATAAAAAGAAATTAGAATTGAAGATCTGTCAAGACTTTTTGCAGTTGTGAAATAAAATAAGCCATATTTCGGAAATTCAATAACAAGATACGTAAAAATGGAATATGTTTTCAGGGGATTAAAGTAAATATTATTGCTAAGAATGACTGTAACATGATAGTTATTTGAAGAATTAAAGTCTATAAATTGTGGAATTTACCTTCTGCCAATATATTAAAACTTCTGAAATGGGCAAAGACACAGAAGGCAAAGAAAGGAAAGCTGTGTGGCATCTCATTGGCAGGGGACCAAGAAGAAAGAAAGAAACTAAAACGGTGCTTGGCTCATTGTTCATCCAGAAAAAGTTTTTGAATTGAATTGCATCTAAGCTACCTTTTCTTTAAATGCTAATTTTACCAATAATTAGAGATGAATACTGTAGATTGTAAATGCATATATTGAGGATTGTCGATGCATATATTATTTAGGGACAAAATTAATTTTGTTAGCAGTTTAAAATGTTACTTCCTCCTTTGGTTCCTTATTTCTCAATAGCCATGATAAAAAAATTATTTTCACCAAGATCATTTCAAATTTGTCAATATAAAGTAACGACTGGAAATTAAAATAGTATTTACCTATCTAATCAATAAAAAAACAATAGAAAGTAATTTTAAGGTAAACCAAGTACTAAAACCTGTTGCCTTCGAGTTGATTCCAACTCATAGTGACCATTTAGGACAAAGTAGAACTACCCCATTGGGTTTCCAAGGCTGTAATCTTTATGGAAGCAGACTGCCACATCTTTCTCCCACGGAGCAGCTGGAGGGCTTGAACAATTGGTTAGCAGCTGAGGTTAGCAGCTGAGGGCTTAACCACCACACTACCAAGGCTCCTTAAACCAAGTACTAGCCCCTTAAAAACCAATTGTGGGGTGAAGGGTACACGGGAACTCTGTACTGTTGTTTCAATTCCTTGTGAGTCTTAAACTCTTTCAAAATAAAAAGTTATTTAAAAGAGAAGACTTCAGAATGCTGGTTATGAGAAAATATTGTGAACCACTGGAAGAATGCACTTATCAAATGCATACAGCAAAAAATGCCTCTAAGGATGTATGAGGTTCTGGGGTAGTTGAATTCAATTAATTTCGTTTAACAGTTATTTATTATTCAATTACTTTTTATTTTTGTGAGATTCATTAAAAATAATCTGTGAGGCAAACCACGGATGATAATTAAGGCTGTCTCTGACCTAGAAGTGCATGCGCTTAGTCCTGTTCACTCCACTTTTCTCTGCTTACACTCAATACTCAGCTAAGAACAACTAAATGCGTGTCTCCAGCCAAATATCTCCACTGAACTTCAGGTCCTTTAAAAATGATACAGGCACTCTGAAAACAGTTTGGCAATTTCTTAAAAAACTAAACAGGCAACTACTATACAACCCAGCAATTGCTTCCCTGGGCTTCTATCACAGAGAAATGAAAATTTATGTTCACACAAATCCTGTACATGGATGTTCATAGCAGCTTTATTTGTAATAGCCAAAAGTTGAAACAATCCAGATATCCTTGAACTGGTGAATGGTTAAATAAATTGTAGTACATCCACTATGGATGTACTGCATCCATAGTTTACAAAATACTATGGAATGCTGTTTTTATTATTTGCTAATAAGTTAGCCCATGACTCATGGTGACCTCATGCACAACGGGATCAGACTGTTATGATCCACAGGGTTTTCACTGACTGACTTTTGGGAGTAGATCAGCAGGCTTTTCTTCCTAGTCTTAGTCTGTAAACTCTCTTTTTCTATGCTATTGGATTTTATGGATTTAGTCTGGAGCCATGATACTTCAGTTGAAAATGAAATTCTAGATTGGTTGTATATCTTTGTTCTTGTTATTGTTAGGTGCCATTGATATGACTCCAACTCATAGTTATTTTATGTCTAACAGAACAGAATGTTTCCTGGTCCTGAGCCATCTTCACAATTGTTGTTGTGCTTGAGCCCATTGTTGCTGACACTATGTCAATCCATCTCATTGAGGGTCTTCCTCTTTTTCGCTGATTCTCTAATTTACCAAGCATGATGTCCTTCTCCAGGGACTGGTTTCTCCTGATAACACGTTCAAAGTAAGTGAGACATGGTCTCACCATCCTCACTTCTAAGGAGCATTCTGGCTGTACTTCTTCCAGAACAGATTTGTTCATTCTTCTGGAAGTCCATGGTATATTCAATATTCTTCGCCAACACCATAATTCAAATGCTTCAATTCTTCTTCAGTCTTCCTTATACATTGTCCAGCTTTCACATGCATATGAGGTTATTGAAAAGACCATGGCTTGGGTCAGGCGCACCTTAGTCTTCAAAGTGACATCTTTGCTTTTTAGCACTTTAAAGAGGTCTTTTGCAGCAGATTTGCCCAATGCAATGTGTCGCTTGATTTCCTGACTGCTCCTCCCATGGGCATTGATTGTTAATCCAAGAAGAATGAAATTCTTGACAACTTTAATTTGTTCAACATTTATCATAATGTTATTTATTGATCCAGTTGTAAGGATTTTCATTTTCTTTATGTTGAGATGTAATCCATACTGAAGGCTGTGGTGTTTGATCTGCATAAGTAAGT